GTGTCTCCCTGCATAAATAAATTCTCCTGTAGGAAAGCACACGAGAGGCATAGTTACACAACTCTGACCCCCTGGGCAGTTCTCACTTCTCAGCAAAAATGAATGTACTGCTTCTAACTAATCTCAGCGGTATAGATACCGAGCCAGCTTCCCAAGATTCCTTCTGAATGCTGTCATGTCGAGTTTATAAGCCTGGACCATGATGAATTCACCAAGGTAAATGTCACTTCTGATACCACTTGGCAGCTGTCCGGGTGAGTCCTGACGACACTCCCACCTCTCCATGTCTTTCAGACTTCTTTGCTTTCTGACCACTCATCTCAAGCAGTGTCGCTATACTCTACTGTCTTCTCTTCTATAACTCTTTACCTAATTCTGTCTGTCTTCCTGTCTCACCACGCAGCCTTCCTTTATCCTTTCTTTCCTCCCCTACTTTGACTTTATTTAAGAGAGATGTTGAAGATTACCATAACAGAGCCTACGTGTCAAGTACCATCTTGGGCCACACACTAATCTTGGATCCTAAAGCCGGGAATAATGGCCCACGTTTTTACCCTCAGCACTTGAGAGATAGAGACAGGACCATCAGGAGGTTGGGGATGCCCCTCACTTACACAGGGAGTTGGAGGCTAGCCTGATCTACATGAGACTCTGTTGAAAGGGTTGTTTATTTGTTTAAAACCCCATTTCATTTTTACTTTTGAATCAATTACCTAAGAACACAAGCCATCTTGGGTATGTCTACTCCTTTTTTAGGCCAGTGAGGAAGATGTGAAACAGGCAAGGGAAGCAGCAAATGAAGAAGTCCCTTCGTGGAATAAAACTCCTCACGGCTCTGCCGCCCCACATCCTTCCAGAGAGCAGAACTTGCTCCTGAGTTTCTTTGTGCACTGTTAGTTTTCTCCGTGGAGGAGATGACCTTCTCTGTCCACTGAGGTACTCCCTAAACCTGTGAAACCAGACTTTGCACATTTAGAAATCTTTTCAGTAATGTGTAGATGGATGTTATAATAAAGTTGGATCTCCATCCTGGAAGATCACTTGAAATTCTCTTCAGTGTTGATTGGATCTCACAGTCCATACCGCTGTGTGTGGCCTCAGAGGACAGTAATGTAGAGGAAGCCTCACTCCCTCCCGTCATACTTCAAGAGGGAGCCTGAGAGAAACGGAAGAGAAAACAGTTGTTTCCAGGGCCTCTCATTTCTTACTCCAGGAAATAAAGGCAGCTTATGTTCTAAAGACAGCTGTCATAGACCCTTGGGTATGGGCAGGAAGAGTAGGAAAGTGAGTTTGGGCCTGAGTATGAAGATGTAGCCACAGAGAAGTCTCAGGGAAAGCTAAAGTTGAAGTGTCCAGACTGGGAGGTCCAGAACCATGGACAGAGACCCAGACAAGCAGCTCCTGAGGCCTGAGGGTTCTGTACCATGGCCAGCCTCCGCCCACCCACTTTGGTCCCCATTCCCCCTCTCAGAGCTATTTTAGAAAAGGGCCTGACCTAGGCTGTAGGTTGACTGGCTCCTAACACTGGAAGGCTATGATGAATAATGGCTTAATTAATAGGAACATCATCCCGAGGTCTTCTTCTTCTTCTTCTTCTTCTTCTTCTTCTTCTTCTTCTTCTTC